TAAAAAGGGGGTTTACATCTAAAGCCTAACATCCAGTGATATTTTATAGATTATTGTTTAGTATCTGCATTTTGCCTCTCTTAAAGGCCCATTATGCCTCAGAAATGTTATTTTTCAGAAGCTTTTTTATTTTAATTTAAGTTAATTCTGACCGAAAAGTTACCAAGTAAAGCCAAACCATCTTTTTCATTTGTTGCTTCTTGGTAGAAAGTACAGCTATAGTGATTCAATATTTTGTATGAAGTCAAAATACTACTTTGTTTACATTTGGCTACTTTTATAACAAATAATTTTACATTTATCGCTTATTCCCGGTAACAAGCATCTTACATGCGCTAAAACCACTATTTCAACATTCTAAGTAAAATTTTATTCATTTCTGAGTCACAATGTGCCTTTAAACTTCATCTTGCTGGATCAGTGAAATGGATTTGCCATGTTGTCCACAGTTCTATTAAGGGAATTCTGGATCAAGGTATTTATATTGTATTGGTAACTGATGTGACTACAGCGGTACACAATAGTTTGGTTTTTTTTAAAGAAATTTTACAGGCACTGTAATGATGGCAAAAACCTAGTCAATATACAATATGTATTCAATTAATAATCTTAAATATTTTCAACAAGCTGTTCAAAGCTGATGTTAATTCATGGTCCCAGAGATGGCAGTTATATATCATGTTATGGAAAAAAATCCACTTTTTGGGCAAGAGAGACAGCTTCTATTTGGCTGTAAAATATATGGAAAATATCCATTGATCATGACATTAGACAATTTTAAAATCTTAACTATGATTTTTTTAATCATTTCAAAATGTTTTATAGTCTTAAATGAAGATAAACTTGGAAAAAAAAAGCACCCAAAAGATGTCCATTGAAAATTTAAGTAAACATGTGTTAATTTTTCTAAAATTGTATGAACAGCTCTATGATAGAAAAATATCAAAAAACAAATAATAAAATTGTGCACATAGCCTAACCCCAATTTACTCCCAGATATAATTTTTCGTACAGGCTGTATGATACAGCAACCACCTACCATAATTATTCCTTTTTCCCTAACAAAAGTACCAATTATTTTCATTTCAATTTTGTATACGCATCTATTAAAATATACCTAGCTCAACAGATAAAAGTTTTACTATATACCCTTACATACACTGCATACTATTTTTCTACATATAATGCATGTATCACATGCAAAAATATGACCAAACCTGTATCACTCAGAGTGTGCTGGTGTTATGCTAATGGCATTATGGATAAATACATATATATATTGTAAATTCAACAAGGTATACTATAATAAGGTAATAACAGGAGAATCTTCATCCAGTACTTGTATTTGACACTGTGGATTAACTGATTTTCTCAGAATCAATTACATTTCGCGCACCTGCGCCCTGTGAAATCTTAGCCTCGTCTAGTAAAATCCACTAAAGTCAAACACAGGTTCCAGATCAAAATTCTCCCTTTAATAACCCTTTTGTAATGTATACATTCTAAGTTCACACAAATCAATGCAGTGAGTGATAATTCATTTTGAAATTCTAAAGTAAGTCAATGTCAAATCTTGAAAGGGCATTAAAGGGAGACACAGGCAAAATTTTCATTTCTTAGTTTTGAAATTTTCATTCATTATTCTGTAAATGTCCTCAAAATGAATACACTAAACAGTCAAAGGAACAAAACTTTTCTCCATATAAAGAATAAAATGGTGTTTTCCTAACTTGACCCGCGTGGGTCAGGTTAGAGCGCTAAAATTTCACAATAGTTGTCACTCTGTACTCTGGAAACGTTAAAAAACATGTCAAATCAATTACTTAGACTTGTTTCAATCAAACAATACCCACAATATTTGTTATTGTAACTTCCAGGGTTTGTTCAAATCACATGACTTGTTTTTAAACTATTCGGTGATTCTGTTCACGTCAAAATTTCGTTCAACATATATAGATATATTTAAACTTCAAACCCAAAATATATAGAATTTATACAGAAATTCATGTTGGGACTTTAAGAAATGTCATTTTAGGGTGATTTGAGTACAGAAAATCATTTTTATATTTTTGCCATTATTTTGCCTGAGTATCCCTTTAATTATGGGTTTGAAGCAAAACAACTTTAACTCCAAATGAATAAATAATGTTGTTACTGTCATTTTGCACTAAGCCCCTATCTTAAATCGATAAATATTACCATATTCACTTGCTTGCAAGATGTTTTCACCTTAAGTTCATTAACATAGTATGCAATTTTCATCATTTCTCCATGCTCACCCATTATTAAAACATACACTCGCAACTAGTGGTATATAAAAACACTGTACATTATTTAACTTATATTTTAGACGTTCTTTTTACAAGCCAATAAAACAAAACAATTAATTTGAATTCCTTAGTTTGTACAATATACATAACTATATTGTACTCTGAAAACAAATACAGTTAAAAATCCTTATGTAAGGTAATGATCCACATTAGAGTATATAATAGGGAGCAGTAATTTTTATAGTTTAATTAAGTAGATAGACTAAGAACATTCTGGGTTTTTTCCCGGCTAATCATGGGGTACAGTTTCAGCTTCAAAAATAAGCCCAACAGGTTGACTAATCTACTGTGACCAGTAGTGCACCATGAAGATACAACGGTAAAAGTTTGTATGTACTGTAGGGGGGATTAGCTTGGAAAAACCCACATTTGCAGAGTTACGGGAGACAACTGCTCTTGGACAAAAATATCAAATACCATGACACACCAAATTTAACGTTTGATATATCTCTCTTCATATGTCCGTGTTAATAAAGTACAATGGTCTAAAACACCATTAAAGTAAAGATATTATGACAATACTTAATTTTGTACTTTAAAATGATTTTGAACTTTTCTCTATTAATTTCTACATTTATTATTAATTCTATATTATTTCCTCTCTTAAGTATAATCAATTTAGGTACATATAGCTGAGAAATGTTTTGACCTATACCTACCATCAGAGATTTTTTCACCACGAAACTGCATTATGACAGATTTCCATGTACAAATAAGTTATTTGAAAGTAAACTGTTGCATTTAAAACTACACAAGTACTTCATTCTAAATCGATTCTCTAAATTTCAATTATTTTGAAACACAGAAAATAGTTCACCACAATTAGACAATATAAAAGAGAGGCAATACATAATTCATGATAAATCTATCACTCGTAGACAGGATCACTCGTACATTTATTAAAATCAATGCTGGATGTCATAATACCGCTGCCTGGTCACGTGTAATCGAGAAGTTTCTGAAGGACCGTGCCCCTCAACAGTAACTATGATGAAAACTGATCATGGGTGTGTTTAAAAAAGGACCCTGCACTACAAAACTTGGCACCTAGTTTTATTTTTGTTTATCATAATGAGTTAGTTTATTTATCACAGAAAGACGTTCGTTAATCATATCATTTACGAACGTGTCGGGACGAACTTGCCCGTGCTGGGGCATCACCGTCCTTCGAAGCACTTCCACGTCGAACACCAGTGTTCACACTGGGTATCATACTTGACTGCATTTGTGCCGCTGACATTCTTGTAGCATCACGCTGCAACTCCTGAGCTGTAGTTGGAATACCTCTGTGAAGTCTGGTGCTTGTACGCCTCTCCCGTTCTCTCGACATTGGTCTAGGAGATGTTGCTGTTAATATAAATAAATATACCAATTAATAAGCAACATCGTTTAACAAATACAGAACATGATACAAATGGATTTTATAACAAGCTGTTTATTATCATTATCCAGTGATAGAACAAGTCATTGTAATTTATCTAGCTATCTTTAAAACTTGTTATTCAGTGTCTCTCCTAAGACATGATTTTGAAAAAGGTAAGAAGATCTCAGAACTTTAACCATAATTATGTAACTAATACTTGTATAATGCAACATACATGTTACAGGTATACGTCTTTTAAGCCTTTTTCTTTGTTTAGCATTCAATTAAATACATTGGCTAAACCCTTTTAATGAATCATTTCCTTTAATATACATGTTAACTCTTTAATATACATCATTACATGTCACTGTATTTACATACAATTACTCATGCTTATTGAAAAAGTATGCAAAAGCTAATTTGTTATATGAACCGTTCCCAAGCTGAACTTGTGTAATAGCCTTGCTCTGTTTAAATGTTCATCGTCCAACTATAAAGGTAAAGTTATTTGAACTGAGCAGGCTAAACTTTATTCTGAACACTCAAACTTTTTACTGATGGTAAAGGCTTGAAGCAAGTTCCTGCAGTATATCAGAACTTATGCAAAACCTAGAAACACTTCAGTGTATCAGTGAAACTATTGGTAGTTTTTGTTCATGAATTGGGTGTATTTTTACAAGTTTTATCTTTAAACCAGTTTCAAATGCCTTGACTTGACTGGTTTCTTGTTTTTATTTAGTTTTAATGCAAGATATAACATCAGGACACAAGATGAGTCTTAATAAATTACAGTTTGAAATGTTATGATTATTCAACAAAATTTGATGCATAGCTGTTGACCCCTAAGTTGGCCTTACAAGGTCATTTTGATTTTGCAATTATAATTTTATAACTTATCATTTCATATTGCAATACCTTCATATAAGAATTCAGTTCTCTATTTTAAGAATGACATTAAAAACAAATTAAATGCGGTAAAGACATGGCTGGAAACCTTCATATACACATCAACATTTATGTCTTCATACATTTCAAAAAATGTCTTCAAAATACTCAACCATCCGGCCTTGCAGAGGTTACAAAACTTTTTTTCAGCATTCTGTCTCAAATCTATGGATTTTCATTTGTCAGTGTACATTGGGTGCCAGTTCCTGACAAAAACCAGAGATCTGAGCTGAGCTTGGAGAATTTCTTTATAACCTCTGTCCCTGGTTTGTCAAATAAACAAAGAACAACAACATTGTTTTTATCGTTACATAGCAGTCTGACGATCTTTGGATATTGGGAGATAATGACAACCAAAAACATTCCTTTTTTGATCAGTTTCATTTATATTTTCAGTTTTATTTATTTTTTTATGTTCACAAAACAATATAATAAAAATAATAATAACACAGTAAAATAACATAAAAGTTACTAGTACATGTTCAGACAAAACAAATCTCTCTCATAATGAGCACTTGGTACTATCAAAGTTTACTACCCGTTAAAGGAACTCCACTGAGGCTTTTTGACATGGCTGGACTGGAAATATCCCCCCCAGAAAAAACCGAGATTGGTGTACCACCCGATGATGAAAGGCTGAATCAATAAATCGTCAATTGGCAAATTTTCAGATCATTCCCTCAACCTGTTTGTCCAGAATAATCTTTTTTCCTCTGTATAAAAATCACCAAAATGAAATGTGTTGCAATGCTTTTTACTCAAATCAGGCTAAGAACTGCAATAACTGTCAATTTTCTTTTAATAAGATTTTATTTACGCATACTATATATTTCTTTATTATTACTTTATTATCCTTTGAATCTTTTTTCATCTTAATTTGCAAAAAATTCATTTTTTTGTTTGTTTTGTTTTAAGGCTTTATGACCTCAGTGGAGTTCCTGTAACAAAATCAACTAAATGATCTATACAATTCTAAAGCCAATGCAAACAAAAAATTGTTTGGTTAAAAAAAAAACATCTTCAGACTGAAGTTTAAATGTAAAGAAGGTAGTAAATATTTTTAGGAAGTAATAAACCATATTGTTATTACCGTATTGTTATACCATTGACATGGATCCCCTTTCAGAGACATCTAAATGTATACTACATTAAAATTGCCGTAAATTTAACCAATGCATGTAATGTACAAGCTGTTATTAATTGTGAGAGAAAAAGGATAACATAATAAACCTTTGGCATCTAAAAATGTTCAATGAAATACTTTAACTTAAAATTGACAATGGGTATTATTAGTCATAAAAGCATCCTATTAACTAGCATAAACTTATTCATTATATAAAAAAAATGGCACTCATTTATAAGAAGCAAAATGAAAATTAACACTGTTTTTCTATGAGAACTCCAACAAAATATCAACACAAATATCTCAACATAAATCCAGACTTTTAAACACAAATTATTGACATAGTTTAATAAGTCAGGCAAAACATTTTCTTTGTTGATTTTCTTATCATTAGTTTTGACAAAATTAAAAATAACATGGGAAAATATGAAACTCTATTTCTTTTTAGCATCCATGACCTAATCCACCGAGGGTAAAGGTCAATGGATGGTACAATCACATCAAATATCCAAGGTATCTGACAACAAATGGAGTGTCATGAAAAAATGGTACACAAATGTGATGGAGGGATGGACAAAAAAAGAAAACTATTTGCTCCACTGACACATACAAAACTTATTAGGGGCTAGTGTCTTGTTTTTCTTTAAGAGTTACAACATTTTTACAATTGCATAAAATGATATTTAAAGTTAACGACCCTGTAGATCGGTCATTATTTCATTGATATAATAGTGAGGTAGACATCTTGATATTGAAATTGAATGAGACAACACCGATTTCTTTCGTGCTAAAACAAATATTATAATGGTTTCAACATCTGCTTCATTTTCACCATGATATTTTTTTCTGATTTGCTTTATTATAAACTACAGTTATGATATGTCCATGGGTTATATTTCCATGGCAACACATGACCAAAACATTTTTTCCTGAAATCAAATTTGCACTGTGTCTATTTACATGAACATTTTATTCAGAATGTATAATATTTTAAAAGTTCCCAATTAATTAATAGCCGTGTTATTCTTAACTATTCACATGCTGAATTTGTGTTATGGATACGCCTGCTTTTGAATTTGGAAAAGTTCATTTGAAACTTAAGGGATTTCAATATCAAAATAAAAGGTTCGACTACATGGATATGCAGGCTGGCCGTGCCCTACACAGGTGGCAAAGGCATATCACTTTCTGTTTCAGCAAGTTAGAGGTTAATTCTGTAAAAAACTACATTCAAATGTATTTCTTATAATTCTTAGCTTAACATTTTAAACAAAATTTTATCAATAAAACCGTAGGCATTTAAATGATTTACCACCTTAATATTGCATAAGCAAAACTGTTACAGGAAAAAACAAATGTTTCTTCAATTAAAATGCACAGACTTTTAAACATTAATTTACAAGACAGGATGAATTTGACTCTGTTGTGTTTATTTGAAATACAAAATATGACCAGATTATAATAAGCTCTATGTATATCTATATAATTGATGAATTCCAATTATCATCATTACCTGAAGAAAATTGTTTTTTCCCCTAGAACAAGCACCTGTATCTGTTGACAATACACCTGTGTTTTTAGGAAAAAACTTAACCAATATGGTTAATTGAATATTCAAATATATTAGTAATGTAAGAGTACATGTAGGTACCAACCGAACAATATACCAAAGTTAATAACATAACTGGATATCAATTACACCAAAAATCACGATATAATAAAACAAGATCAAATAAATGATGAATCATGGCCATTTTTTTTAAATACACATTTTAAACATATATAAGAAAGTAGAAATTGAATATAGATCAATTATTACTAGTGTATACACAGGTGAATGCCTTTTCCTTATTTATCCGTACACACACTTACTTATGCAGTATTTACAATATACAAAGATCTTACAACGAAAAAAAAAAGTCTGCATTCAACAACTGAAACATTCATACAATTCTTTCATCTTTTCCAAGGGCCAGAACTCTGTATTAATTAGTTCAAATCACATACAGAACCACAGCTGTGCAAAACACAAACAGACCTGAATGATGTCTTTTTTTATTATTAAAACAATAAAATTCAATGAAGTGAAATGACTACTTCAAATACATTTACTTTTTTTCAAAATATATACATGAACAAATTATTTCGGACTGATGGACTTACAGATATATGATTACTCTCCCTTGAACACCTATACACCCTCACATGCATCTAAAAATCAACAATAACTTTAGGGTATACATCTAAAAATTAAATCCTTTTGTCTGAGATTTCTTCGCAATCTGACACATGTAATGCCTCATAGTTATAGTATGATTATATACAAATAAAATGTGAAATTTATATTATATACATATTATATTTTATGTTACAAATATATACAAAATATCACAATATTTATGCTATTACGCTACATGATTACATGTTAACAATGGTAAAACGAAATTTCTGTTACTCAATATCCTAAAACAAAATTTACAAATTCCAGGAAAGCATTTCTTTTCCTTTTTTTAAACAGTGTCTTAAAATCAACTTACTAAATCACTCGTTTTTTATTTAAAATTGTTTTTTCTTCATACTGTTGTCAGGTAATAGGAAATTTATTTTCAAACCTGTTTAAAATGGCATGTAAAGTATTGAAAGTTCTTGACTCGAGTGTTATGTCAATAAATAATGTAAACATTTCTTTCTTTAACCATGTTGGAAAATATAAGGAAAAGTCCAGTGTTGTCGTCCGGAGGTAGCTACAGGCCAAAATAACTATCTTAAATACATTTAGTTCCAACTCAAAACTTAGGAAACACTATGTTGATGTATGTGATAAAACCAAAACTGACTACCTCTAATTCAAAATGTACCGTTTTATATTATTTAAATGACAACTCTTATGTCCCAATTAACATGTTATTATGGCAAATAGACAATTTTTAATTAATGGAATTATTTTCACTAATTTCTACAACATCTTTGGCTTAAGATTCTGATCACCGATTTACATTATTGATACATCAGGCTATTTTAAGAGCTGTTTTTATTGTATCAAATTGAAATACTGTTGTTTAACAAACTTGAAAAAAAAGACCTCAAAAGCTGCTATTCAACAAGGTTTGGTTATGATTTTTCCATTGCAAGAATCAAAAAAATATTTAAACATACAATTGATATTTATTACAGGAATCTGAAAACTAGACTATTGAGTCACATACAAAATTTAATAGAAATTTAACAATAATTTCTTTTTATTTTAATTAAACATTTCTTCAGAAATTTGTCAAATTTCATTTACAAGTACAAGGTCAACGAACGTGAGTGACCTATCTATATTTAATATCTCAATCAAATATCAAAATCAAAGTTTTTGACGTAAATCTCCACACTACAGATGCTCAATTAAGCGAAAGTAGCTTCATAAGATTACAAGTAAAATTTCCAAATTAAAATGCACAGAGATTTAGTATTATGACATGGAAAAAAGAAAATGGACAAAATATAATTTTTTGTTGTTGTTGAACACTTTATTGTTGTCGCTGCCTTGACGTACTGTGGCCCCTCCCTTCTTGTGTCAATCTTCGCAATTTTGCATTGTCTGTAGAAGTCCCGCCCACAGGGACAGGTATTCCTGACCCCTTAAAACTCATCCTGCCCCCTGAGGAGGGCGTTGCAAGTCTACTATCACTAACTCTAGTGTCCATAGGTACCTGCTCTGACCCACCCTCGGCACCTCTCATTGCTAGGGCCAACCGCGTCGGAACTTTTTCCTTGCCAGCACGTCCAGATCTGCCCACATCTGTTTGAAATTAAATGAAAATTCATGATTCTAGAATTCACAAAACTTTTTTTTTTTTAATAGGATAGTAATATAACATCAAAACAAATAGTTTTAAGTGCATTTACATGTAGGTGGCTTAAGTACTTCCTATTCATCCTATTCAATCTTTACTATCATTAAGATCTCAAAAATCAAAAATATCAAGTCATAAAATTTAATACACATTAACTACAGGAAAATAATATGGTATATGAATTATGTATTACAGTTGCCATTTAAAGAGACAACAGAAAAATACATTAGTTACCATAGCAACAGCAAATTATCAATAATTGTTTGATATGTTTACCTTTTAAAGGATTGGATTGTCAGTTTACAATCAAACTAAAGCAAATATTGAAATCATTTTTACACGCTAAAATAATGTCTATTGAAAATTCTTCAAAATTAATGAAATGCTATTTATATACTTCAATAACAAATACCAATTCTTGGTATTTCAATAGTCATTTATTATTCAAGTATATTTGAATGATTTCAATTGCCTTGTATGACTTAAAAAGTTCTGTACAATTTCAGTAGATTTGAAAGATTTCAATTGCCTTGTTTACTTAAAAAGTTCTGTACAATTTCAGTAGATTTGAATGATTTCAATTGCCTTGTATGACTTAAAAAGTTCTGTACAATTTCAGTAGATTTGAATGATTTCAATTGCCTTGTATGACTTAAAAAGTTCTGTACAATTTCAGTAGATTTGAAAGATTTCAATTGCCTTGTTTACTTAAAAAGTTCTGTACAATTTCAGTAGATTTGAATGATTTCAATTGCCTTGTATGACTTAAGTTCTGTACAATTTCAGTAGATTTGAAAGATTTCAATTGCCTTGTTTACTTAAAAAGTTCTGTACAATTTCAATAGATTTGAATGATTTCAATTGCCTTGTATGACTTAAAAAGTTCTGTACAATTTCAGTAGTTTTGAATGATTTTAAGTCTTGTGTGATTTCAATAGCTCTGTACAATTTTAGTAGTTTTGAATGATTTCAAAAGTCTTGTATGATTTCAAAGTTTTCTGTGATTTCTATTTCTCAATCATAATTTTCTTTGTTGTTGTTGTATGCCTTTACTTTTTTTTATTGTTGTATAACTTTGTCTTATGATTTATAATAAATACTTTAGTATGATCTTAATAGTTTTGTAAGATTTAGAGTATTGTTCTTTCTATTTTAATCTGTTGCAATTGTGTTAAATTAAATAACAGGTGTGGGATAATTGCCACATTGTTGAAGAAACCATTAGGTAAAAACCTTTGTTCAGAGCAATTTTTACAAATACCAACAGAGATGCAGAAATGTTAATGATTTATATAACAATTTACTTTCCCCCCGTGTCAATCGGATAAAGATTAGGTAAGTTGGTTGACGTATAACAAACAATTTAAAGCTACTCAAGTTTTTAGAAAAAATCAATTCAGATAACCGCTGTAACATCACTTAAATGAGACATTCATGCTATATTTTTCATTATTATTATTACAAATTTATATAAATACAACTGAAATCATTCTTATATTTATCACTGTAGTTCAATATTTCAACCAAAACAAAATTAGTTTAAATGAAAATTCTTTTTATATAATATGAACATTCACGTATTAAATGCCTCCGCTCCCTACAGTTTTTTCAGTCTATGGACGGACGGTATGACAGACAGACAGACAGACGGACAATAAGAAAACACGGTGGTATCATGGCCCACTTGGTTAATGCCTCAGACTAGTAATCTAATAATAATCGCTAGTTTCATAGGTTCAAACCCAGTCAGGGGCAAGTCATTGTTTCCTTGAGCAATAAACTTTACACACATTGCTCAGTTGGTTCCAGGAACAATTGGAAAGTGTGTCTATAAGCTTATAGCTTCCTTCACAATCAAAATAAAATAAATTCTGTATAAACCAATAAGCAAAGCCATATGTTCCAACCTAAGTGGGTGCATTACAAAAATTTTCTTTTCTTAATCCATTATTATTAATAACGTAACTAGTGTAATAGTTTTCTTAAAAATTTACACTTTTTCTGATTCACCACAGATTAAAAAATTTATATAAAATATTAAGCCATTAAATGTTAGCATGATTATAGTAATAGTATTTCAATAAATGTCAATTCATAACCATATTACATATATATAAATACTGCAAGGTATAAATCCCTTTCAAAATGTTAAAAGCACAATTAATATTGAATGCCAAATTTTCTTTTTTTTTCTGTCTCTCCAAATTAGCACCAAAGCCACCTACCTCTGTTAAAAAAAGAATACATTCACATATAAAACACAAGTTAATCACATGAACACAATTACGTAAAAATATTCTAGCATATGTTAATCGTAAAACCCAAACAAATCAGCATCTTGATCCATGCATCCAATTTGAATATTCTATATGGCTTCATGCGATGCTATAGTATGCAAATTTATGTGACCATACAAAAGTTCGGATAAATACAAAAGCTACATAAACAAAGCATGCAAAATAGGGGGAAAAAGCAAGGCTTACGAAATGTTAAAATGATAAAAAGAAAATATATATACATAATTGATATCTCATCTATGTGATGATTCAATTTCAATTTGGCTGTAAGTTTAAGCTAAATATGCAAAACTACTTGGTTACAGGTAAATAATGAAATGGATTTTTCGACTAAAGGAAATGATGAATTCAGCATTTTACTAAAACAATGAAATCTTTCGTAATGTTAAGAAATTCGTTTTGCTGTTTTATACTTAAAACATCTGGATTTTGAACATTTTTGAGAAAGTGGTAAAAATTATGGCCATAAAATGATATACAAAGATTTTAATTCTTTGCAAACAAAAATCAAACAAGTTGTAAAAATCAATTACAAAATGAGAGAATAAATATATAATAGAGATTACCATGGGAAAGTTCCAGTGGTTTCACTTCTTCAAGCCTTCTATATCTCTTCCAACAAAGTTCACGATAATATTTGCCTCGCCACGGGTTAACGCATTAATATTTTCCCCACCCAGTATTAATAGTACTGCCTTATGAAGTTGCATTTAAAACTTTCATTAATTAGAACAATGTCCATTAAAAAAAAATTTGTTTTCATCTAAAAAAAATTTGTTTTTATCTTAGTCTAGGATACTAATTCTGACAAAAAATTAATGGACAGTTAAAAATCAAATGCTGCCAGATTCTGTCCCCAAAAAATTTTTTTTTTTTCTTAATGGAAATACCTAATCTTCTTTCAAAAGAATTCTCAGATGATAGAATGTATTGGGATCAAAGACATTTGGTCTTTAGTCTATTTATCAAAGAGAAAAAAAACAACAAGACTTATTATACATTCTAAAGAAACTGAGACTTAACATAACAACACTTTCCACATATATCTAAACATTTGCGACCCGTGAACATTTTCATAGATTTTCTGAGAATACATAATCATTTTAACAATAATCTTTTTAATACTGCTGCATTACTTGGTCTGAAAAAATCTGCAGCACAATTGAATTGGTTACTTTCTAGTATAAGAATGGTGGTGAATGACTTGTGCAATAAGATGAAAGTAAACTGTTGATGATCTAAACTTTGTGCAGTCATGCTCACGCATTCTATACACTATATTAATGTTTTATTATTTCTCCATGTTGTGATTTTTAAATCTTCTATTTCCATGCAAGTGATGAAGACAATAATGCATTATGATTCCTTTAATTCCTAAGTAAAATTATTATATTGATAAATATCTAACTATCGGACTCAATGGTTTGGGGTATTTTTTTTATACCCTAAGATCATTGAACATTCAAAAGTAACCCTATTTCAGACTTAAGAATATAGCATATCTAAATTATATATAGTTTATTGTTTAAAAATTAATAATTTTTCTGCCTTTTAAAACTACTGTTCCATTTATACCCAATGGGAATTTTCCTTCGATTATGTCTAAATAAATTTAGAATTTTGTATCATGACTTAAGTGCAAACATAGGTTATCTTGGATAACATTTCATAGGAGATAACCTATTACTGCATTAGGGTGACAATTTTACTATGAAGCTAAATCACTTGACAAGTCTTCTGTAACACAACTGAAGTGTTGTTTACCCTATTATATCAAAATTATTATTGGCAACCTTAATTGACCTGACCTAGTACATAAAATAAATCGTACAAGGCCTGTTAATATTTGGGATTATCCCCCCTAAGCAATATAGCACTTTCCCTCACTTTCTCTGACAATTAGTTATTCCTAGGCAAGTGAAATCACTAGTTCTCTTGTGTCTGAAAGTGCAGCTATTATAAAAGGTTATTAAAGCAGAAATATATACATATATCTGAAAGATATATACACAATTCAATTCCGTCTTCTGTTGTATATGAGAATAAATAATGTTTATTAATATATAGATTTTCCCAGATAATGAAAGATAAATTTATTAAACCCAAAGCATATCTATGGCTTACCCACGGAACCGCTATGACCTATAACATTATATCAAAATACATCACTTGTGAATAATTCATTATGACATATTTCAATTATTTTATCATTATCCCACCCACCACCACTTTACTATTTCATATGGTTAATAGCCGTTCTTTTGTTTATGAGATGAGATGAAAATGATGGAAGCTTCACATTTTAGTAGGATTTCTGTTAAAGGTACAAAGACCAATTCTAAGCAGTCTGAACTGTTGGTGCTTTTTTTCCATTTTTTTTTTCATTGTAGCATTTTCATCACAATATTCTGACAAAAACTTGGTAAAGGGTATCAATCCACAATATAACAAATATATCAACACACCAGACTTATGAACCTTGTACCAGCATGCAAAAATAACTGACCAATCATAAACTGTACATTATACATTAATCAAAATTTAACATTTCTAACAAATAATAAAATAAAATTCATCTACATGATATTTTTGTCTGATATTTGTTATCAACAGATGACATAGACTACTTAAGTCCTAATTATGTTTGACAATTGAATTTTCTTGAAGAGATCTTTGGGATAAATCTTGAGAGCTAGGCCCTTTAAATATTTTTCTTTCTAAATAACAATTTACCCAGGAATCTGAAAGTTCCATTACGAACACCATAATTACTGTATAGTCAGTACTGACCAATAGGCAAATAAGTAATTGTATACATAAATACATCTAAATTCTGTCGTACCAAACATGACCTTTCCGTAAGCTCAACAAAGTTGATATCAAGCTTATTTCACATGAATTATTCTTATTAATGGAAAGACATTATGACTGGACAAGAACCATTTCCCTGTTTAAAGTTAGCAATCTCAACTTCCCTACATAAAATGGAGGAAGTCAGGGGATTATATAAACATTGAAATTGTTGGGACAAAGAAATAAAATGTCTGACAATACCTGTTTGAAGATAAAAATGTTATAATACAGTTTGAAACTACTAAAGGCACAAAAAGTGTAATTATTACATATTTATAAAGTATTTTCCACTATACTCGGTACTTGTTGGTGAAATAATAACAGGTCTTTGAATGGGTATTCTATGTTTAACAGCAATATACCCTTTGAGGACTTCATAATTGATCCCTACTTTGACTTTTCGTTTGAATAACAATAGATTTAATCACAAACATTGACATGTGCTCTTTTGTTAACATAGTTGTTGTGGTGAAATTCTTATTGTATCCACCAACCTGATATTTAGAGTGAGACAGGTCAGGCATCTATGCATTACGTCAAAATCCATGATAGTTCAAGAGAAGTTGATGAGTGTAAAGATTAAAGCAATATGGAACAAGCTGTGGTAAAAAAAAACTTAACCAAGGCATGACGCTAAAATGGACACCCCTAGTATCCCAATGGAGCAGGACAGCTCTCCTTACATATATTTTTATATTCAGTCACTAAAAAGGTTTAAATACACTATAGATTAAAACAAAATTGAAAGAAAAATAAAAGAGGGGAGTAAATAAACATGTATATACATATATATATATCCAGTATGTGTTTGGTAAATGTTTTGTAACCTAACCACCCTTTCAACACCCAAATAAACTAGAACCTAACCTAGGACGCATGACACTAAATTCTATATCACAAACACTGAATTTAAAACTTCTCAACTCTAGCAAAGTTGTAAAAGCTTATAATGTCAAATACTATCAAAACATTTTTTTGAACGTCAATTTTACTTCAACTGACTTAAAAGGGTATAAAGCTATTAATGGCAAAATATGCTTAAAATAAAAAAATGTTATTTATTTGACGAGAGTTTGATTATGTAAAAACCAATTATTTACCAAAACAGTAACAATCGCTAACAAAATTTCAAACAATTTTAAGGTTAAGCAGTGGTTTCGTACATGTGCCATTGGATAAATTAAAACTTTACTTACAATTTATCTCGTTTATTCGGTATGAATATCGCTTTATACCCTTTGTAATTTTTTTTCTTCAAAAATGACTGAAATCTTTGAAATAAATAAAAATTGTTCTTTTGCATTCTCATTATTTCTTTTGATGCTGTTGCTTAAGCTGCATATAGCACAAAGCTTAATGCATGAATACCATTTCTTATTGCGTGCCAAGTCTCAAGTATCAGTACCATGACATTTACTTTAAGCATTTTTGTTTTACATTTTGTTTAGAAGTGGTTTGGCTGTGGAACTAACCATTCTACTAGCGAACAAAGAAAGGTTTACTAAATCGGTTTTATTAACACTTACTTCCATATTCGCCTGGTGGCGTCGTTGACGGCATTTGTTCTGCACGACCACGAGCTTGTGCTGTGCCGTGTACAGGACGGGCTGATGAGCTCACCTTGCCCCGGTCAGCATCATCACTGTTTCTACCACCCTGAAAGTGAGGAATTTGAGCTTCATTAACAAATAACAGACAAATAAAAGAGCAACTTTAAAGAAAAAGAAGGAGAAATATTGACAGCATGTTCAAAACTGAAGCTGATTCTTTCTTTGTCAATCCAAGTATTAACGAGTAAATACACTAACATTGATAAAATCAAAACACTGACAAGTATGCTACCAAAATAAATCCATTGCCAGAAACACCAATGTTGCAGTTTTGATATAGTAGATGAAACCGAACTTGCTCTTAACTTACAAACTTTAACATGTTCCAGTCAAAAACATAATCATATGTGAATCCCTGTCGGTGGAAGAGGTTACGGAATAATTGTCGAAGGTAGGAATAGTCGGGCTTGTCGTCAAATCTTAATGACCGACAAAAGTTCAAGTATGTGGCAAACTCCGCTGAAAAAGAAACCACATTACTTTTTCAAACAATATCTTAACAGGCAAAATTTTTACAAGCCATAGCAATGATGAATAGAGTTTCCGAAACAAAAACTATTTCAGACAAAATGGAGACTTTTCAAGCTAAAGAACATAATTATACTGATCTTTCCACATGCATTATCTATGTTAACTAAAAAAACATCATTATATTTTTGTACATATATCATAAATATATTTCAACAAAAGTTGAAACAACCAAATAAAACAACCAAATATTTCAGTTTCAGAAATTTGATGTCCTTGTTTTTTTTTACATTTTGAAAGATTAAAACTCCTGCCATTACATAATGCTTCTGCATGTTAAATACTTTTCAAAAACTTTCAAATTGTGAAGCTATCTTTCTCTTTTTAAGAAGCTAAAATAAATCATATTAAAACTTACATGGAAAACCTTTGCACAGCTCCTCTATTGGAGTAGACATTTTCTTTTCACTAATACGTTCATACTTTTGGCGTTTTGTGGCAGCTTTTAAACCTTGCCAGGGTAGACTTCCTCGTAAAAAGTACATGAAAATGTATCCTAGAGACTCCATGTCATCTCTTCTACTTTGTTCTATGAAATAGGAAATCATTTTTTTAGATATGTACTTATATAAACTTTGCAATCACTGCCTTATAGATAATCCAGGTATTCAATTCTTATATCTAGATTAATCGAGCAAACATGACAAACTCTATATCTAATAAATTACAATACTGCCTGTCTGGAAAGTGATGATGGCAAATTTTTTTTTGTCAACTACTTTTATCAATAAAAACAAGAGCTGTCGGTAGGACAGCAACGCTCGACTATTCTAGTGCTTGATAGTAAAAAATAATGCTTGATACAGTTACCTACTCCTGTTTACAGGTTGGGGTAATGATGGTGAACAATGTGCAAAGTTTCAAAGCCATATGTCAATGGACTTTGAAAATATTTGAACTATTACAAAAACTTTAACGTAAATTCTAAGTCGAAAAAAGGGCATAATTCTGTCAAAATGCTTGATACAGTTTACCTCCTCCTGTTTTACAGGTTGGGTCATGATGGTGAACAAGTGTGCAAAGTTTCAAAGCCATATGTCAATGGACTTTGAAAATATTTGAACTATTACAAAAACTTTAACGTAAATTCTAAGTCGAAAAAGGGGCATAATTCTGTCAAAATGCTTGATACAGTTACCTCCTCCTGTTTACAGGTTGGGGTCATGATGGTGAACAAGTGTGCAAAGTTTCAAAGCCATATGTCAATGGACTTTTGAAAAATATTTGAACTATTACAAAAACTTTAACGTAAATTCTAAGTCGAAAAAGGGGCATAATTTTGTCAAAAGATGCTTGATACACAGTTACCTCCTCCTGTCTATAGGTTGGGGTCATGATGGTGAACAAGTGTGCAAAGTTTCAAAGCCATATGTCAATGGACTTTGAAAATATTTGAACTATTACAAAACTTTAACGTAAATTCTAAGTCGAAAAAGGGGCATAATTCTGTCAAAAATGCTTGATACAGTTACCTACTCCTGTCTACAGGTTGGGGTCATGATGGTGAACAAGTGTGCAAAGTTTCAAAAGCCATATGTCAATGGACTTTGAAAATATTTGAACTATTACAAAAACTTTAACGTAAATTCTAAGTCGAAAAAGGGGCATAATTCTGTCAAAAATGCTTGATACAGTTACCTCCTCCTGTCTATAGGTTGGGGTCATGATGGTGAACAAGTGTGCAAAGTTTCAAAGCCATATGTCAATGGACTTTGAAAATATTTGAACTATTACAAAAACTTTAACATAAGTGGTTACGCCGACGCCGACGCTTGGGTGACTACAATAGCTCTACTTATTCTTATCGAATAGTCGAGCTAACAATAACTCAATACTTTGTGGTCTCAAAATTTGCTGAATTTTAATCCACTTAAGTGGGATTCATATAACCTTGAATAACTTAACAATTTAAATACTGCATTTATATACGATATTGTCAGATTTAAGCAAAGGTTTCCTTATGGTGCTCAAGCGAGCTAAAAACTAACCCATGTCCCGTTCACAAAAACCCCAAAGATGGATATACTTTTAACACTAATTATAACCTACCTATACCCAAATGTGTATTTATACTAGCATATCTTGCTGTGCCAGTGAGATTCTTATTTTCTCTGTAAGGTATATGTTGATGTGTGCGGGCATCACGATATTTCTTAGCTAATCCAAAGTCTATAATATACACAAGATTGCCCTTTTTACCGAGACCCATCAAAAAATTGTCCGGCTTTACGTCCCTGTGAATAAAGTTCTTTGAATGTATATATTCTATCCTGCTGATCTGAAAAAGAAAACAAAATATCAGCTTTAGTTGTGTATTAAAAATTCTTAAACTTTATCGTAAAATGTAGAAACAACATTACTCGACAATCAAATTGATACATCAAACATTAACTTATAGGACCAGACCAATGGTAAACCCAGTGTTGTTTTAATTATCTCTAGTCCATAACATTTCAGTTACATTGTATAATAGTGTAACACCTGCAAGCACAGCCTTAGTGTACCTCTGGATTCTAAATCATTATCAATTACTATCAAAAGCAATCACATTTTTCAATAACTATCAATTTCATCATCAAAACCATTTGATACAGGAGATGGAGGATAAATGGCTTACAGATAAGGGTGTAACAATATGCTCAACTTGTGATACAATATGTCGATATGCAGAAAAGAAAACAGAATATCCCACTTCAATTGCAGATAAATACACACATTGATTCTAGGAAAGTCCCTCTTTAAACTATGACAAAAGTCTATCCATGTTTTTTTTTTAATAATGTATTGCTCAGATGCCATACAGTGTGGATTGCTTTTTATACTGTGAATCAATATGTGGCCTCACATTAACAATAAACTCTTCACCTTACATTACACACATATTGTTACCAATATACTCTCACTTATAACTTGAGAAAGCCAGGTAGATCTACAATAATTAACAAAGTTTTATCAAGAAACTCTAAAAATGTTTCTAGGCTATAATACATTATCTAAGCCATTTAACATGTTATTAATTTCTCACCAATTGATCTGCAAGTAACAAGACTGTTTTCAAACTGAACTTCCTTGAACAGAAGTTAAAGAGATCTTCAAGACTAGGTCCCAGTAGTTCCATCACCATGACATTGTAGTCCCCTTCTGCACCGCACCATTTGATTGTGGGAATTCCAACTAGACAACAAAGATAGGAGAAATATTTACAAAACAACCGAACCAATAAACAATTTTACACTGTTCTATCAAAATGTCAAGAAAGTCTTTATTTTAATTTATTAATGAATATAAATAACTTGTATGTAATTCTAAACCATAAGAGTTCTTAAGGTTTTTTTCAACAAAAAACCCACACAATGGGTCTTTTCATGTAATTTTATACATGTGTCTATTTCCAAATGCTTTCAACCTCCATGAAAAGACAATGTGTACATGTATGTAAACAAGTTAATTCATATCTGATTTTTATTTGAAAGATATTATGCATGGAGGGGGCTTCAATCAATAATTCAGCTTTTCTTTTATTAAAAGGAAAAAAAATAATACATTATTTCTATCTCCAGAAAATGTTTCTTAGAAGGCTTTAAGTGTCAGCTCAGTTAAAAAAAGGTTTTTCAGAAAAATGTTGTTTTCTTTCTTCTGTTTTACAAAAAATTAACTTCTTTGAAAAAATTGAAATCATGTTTTCAATTCATAATAAAACAAATATTGACACCAGAAACAATGCTTTAAACATGATATTTAACATGCAAAGACAGAGAGAGAGAAAAACAAATGTTGTAATAATTTGAAATATTGATTAAAAATTTGTGAAAATATGAATTCACTTCACAAGCTGTTGCAGTGAAGTATGTTCATGTCACTTGTGAAAAATATGTTACCAGTAATTACACTAAATACCAGAGTTATAGTGAAACAATAAAATAGCAATTATAACCAGTTACATGTATTTTGATCTGTAGATATTTGTTACTAGGTAGAAAATAGAACGTTAATTTAGAAATACACATGCGACATGTATGATATGCTAATATGTAGAGTTTATATAACACAGATTTTTATGTGTCATAAAAAAGAGGCACACTAACACCGTTGTTTTCCCATACTGACAAAGCTGTTGAAAAATCCCTATTTTAAAACTTGAAATTCCTACAAAATGTTACCTTTAACAGGATAACCTGCTACATGGTAATAAACATATAAACAGTCCCTTCCATAAAAAGGTCACATTATGCCTAAAAAATATTAACAGTTTGGGATATATCTTTGTAACTTCTGAGAGTTTCAATATTCAATTATAACTTTGAACTGTTTTGCCAGTCACTATTTCAGACAAAAAAATCCATCTCAGACTTGTTGAAATTTGTGACTTCCTTTGATTTTGAAATCATAAGAAGTAGGGTAAAATAAAATCTGCAACACGAAGGTGGGACATCTTGTAACACACTTATTAAACCAGAATAAAACACTAATGTCAAGTTCTAGTGCTCAAGTAAAGGTAAGTTTCATAGATCATGGCACAATGTATTTAGTGGCCAAAAAGTTGTTTTTTTTGGTGTTTTAGTTACATGAAAAATTTGAAGATTCAAATGACAGTTGTAACAGTGTTCAATCTAGAGTGCGCCACTGACCCCCTACAGACTGCGGGCACAAAACAAATCCAACTGTGAGCCCCAACGGGTACACTGGCTTTGAAAATAACCATACAGTATTTAGGGTACTTGACGTTTATTTTTATGCTTTATGCTCATTTATCACGCAGCTGTTGACTGGGCTAGTATTGATCTTTCAAGTGCAGTAAATATTCACCAGTGTGTCACAAACCAGTCCTTTGCTACAGCTTTTTAACAGTTCTAAATTTAGCCGCATTATGAAAAGAATTCTTTTTGCCAAATACTGATGCAATTTTTTCCCTTCAAAGTCTGCTGAAAAAAGAGCCGACTAAAAAAGTTAATCTTGGTCCATCAACATCTCACTTTAACCCTGGCCCTCCTGAACTGACTAAACAGCGTGATTTTCACACAAACTGGCTTAAAGACGATTGATTTACAGGATGATGATCATGATGAAAAATTATGCAGTTTGTTGGGGGAAGAAAAATCTGTTTGTTATTGCTTCTATAAACTATAGATAGAACTTCTACTCTTCAGAGACAGATTTCTGCTTTTGATCAACAGAATGCTCTTACAGACCAACATTTGTCAGTTTTCCTGCGGCATCTTTAATTAAAGTCTGCATTTCATAAAAAGAAAATAGTGTAACCTGATACTGTACATGTACAGAAATTAAAAGAGTTGTCACAGTGTTACTGTGTTATTTTATATTTTCAACTTGTGTATATATCTCTTGCAGAAACAATCTACCTAAATAGTTAAAAGGTAATACTTTGTTTTTAACTTAAGTTCATTTTTAGTAAGGCCCCATATTCTTCTCAAATAACCCCCTTCTGGTAAGTTTATGCGTCCCCTAGGAATTTAGTCTAGATTGAACACTGCATATGTCAATGCTTTTTTCTTCACAAAACAATACTTTCCAATCCAGAAAAGACAGAAAACAGCAAAGTGACATTTTGTCAACACTTACTGTTCACATATACAATTTGTATAAATATTGCATATTTTCTTTCTAAATTCAACAGTTTTAAGCTACTTTAAGTCAGCCAAAGTTAAACAGCTGTGAAACTCCCATCATTTTGTTAAACAGCTGTGAAACTCCTATCATTTAAATATCAAGCCATTCATAACTATTGCAAAAATATCCTGTTTATTGTACAACCCAAAATTATTACTTAAATAGTTAAATAAATCATTGTTAATATTTATGACTTTATCAACTTTTAACCATGTGTACATTTAATTGCAACAAATGTAGCTCAACCATGTTTAGAGAACCATTTTACTTCTTCTCAATAGTTACTTAACTTGAGCACTACCTATCTAGAATAAGCACAAGGAGACTAGCTATTTTCCTTCAATTTGTTTAACAAGTGATCTCAATAATATATAAATGTGAACGCAAAGACAGTCTGCATCTTAAGTCATTGGACCGAAGCCCGAAAACAAGTTATAATGTTTTATAGATTGTATTTTACGCAAATTATATAAACAACAGGACAATTTTCTGGTTATTTCTCGACAGTTAAAAATAGGTAAACATAAAAAAATAAGAGTTATATAAGATAAAAAAATATACAACTTATAAGATCAAAAAAAATTTTGTCACATAATTTTAAATAAAATATAATCTTTAAATTTCATTTAAACTTAGCAATAAACATTTAAAATTTAGTTATTTTTGGAAACACGAAATATAAATATTTTGCATGCCAATTAAATTTCTCAAGTCGCAGACTGCAAAGAGCAATCATCTCTTAAAATAAGCACAATGTAAAGCAAGCAAAGGTCCAATGCTGGTCATAGCAAGAGTCATATTCTACTGACCTCCGCCCTGCATCATCCTGTAAATTTTGCTCTCTATATGGAGCTGAGGATGTTTAGTTTTCACATACTCTAGTTTTATGGCAACTTCTTCTCCGGTGGAGATATCTGTGCCTGTACAAAAATCAAGCAGCATTAGTTAGGAGAGATATATTGTGTTAGTGAAAGTTCTTTGGCAATATACTGACCTCCGCCCTGCATCATTCTGTAAATTTTGCTCTCTATATGAAGCTGAGGGTGCTTCGTTTTCACACATTCTAGCTTAATAGCAACTTCCTCCCCATTAGAAATATCAGTTCCTGAATACAAAACCAACAAGTGAACAACAAAATACAGGTTACAAATATTGTTCTGTAGAAATAAATTAAAACTTTAAGTTACACCATTGGAGGATAATATTCTTGTGTTGTAATAAATTTCACATTACATTATATAAGCCAAAAGTATAATGGGTTAGTCACTTAAGTAATTAAATTAAGTGTTATGTGATTGCATAGTTTCTTATCTGTGATACATTACTTATATTTTTTGAACAGCTGAGTGATCAAGGTTAGTAATGTTGTATATATATGTAAGAGGGAAATTAACAGGACAATCTGAAGGCTGCAGATTGATCTACATAGCGGCACCCTTGACCACTACAACAATAAACTATTTTGACAATAAACTATCGCACCTTTTGTCAATCTCAAATATATTTTTTTAGATTAAGTTTTAAGTCAATCTGACATTGTTTACATCTTTATCTCATGTATACAACTTTTTAGATTTCTCAAGCGTTACTGGTGGAGGAATCACTCTGGTATCCCTCCTGCTTTATTTCAGGCAATAGCAAACATTCAGGTAGAACAACCAACCTCTTCTGTAAGCTAGTTAGATAGCTCCCTTACATGAAAGAAAGAAAAGTCCCTAGTGGAATTCAAACCCTAAGAAACATGGAGCAAGTGGTTTTTAACCAGCAAACTTAACCACACTGCCTTGGAGGCTACTTATCTAAAATAAATCTGTAAAGTCAATTATTGTCAGTGTGGCTATAAATCTGGCACAGAAAAAGTTTGGTTACAGTGGTCTGATATTTCTTCTTTAAGAGAGAAACCACATTGCAGTTCATTGCTGTTCCTGAAAATCAGTAACCGAGGTCAAAGACCAAAGTCTTCTTACAAGATATAAAATTTAAAACTTTGATAAATTTAAAACTTTGATTATATCTCAATTCTCCACAGATGGGGCAGTAAAAGCCCCATCCTCTTAATTCTGAGAGTTGACCTAATTGATCAACTGTCTGATATTCTGACCATAAAGGCATAATAAGAATTACATCCCAGTTCGAAACCAAGACGAATTTAACATATGATTAATATTTCTTTGGTAAAAAAATATATCTATGTCTGATGATACATACAGTATGATGAAAGATGTCAAGTAATTTCAAAAGTTGTCACTACTCACTAGGAAGTAGCATAAGTAGCTCTAAATGTTTTTATGACAGAAAAAAATGTTAATGTACAGGGTTATTTACATTTATCGTCTCTTCAACATTAAACTTACTTCCTAACTACAGTTTTAACCATTGACAGCGTGTTTACGAAAATTTACTCAAAATTGAGCATAGCTTAAACGAAACTTTTGATGGTTCAAATGAACAGAACTCAAGACATTAAAGTTCAACTGAGTAAAACAAATTCATGAGAAATCGATGATCTCACCCAGGTAAATGTCTCCAAAAGAGCCACTCCCGATTTTTCTGCCAAGTCTGTATTTGTTTCCAACCCTCAACTCCATGGCTTATCCTGAAAAATATAGAAAAAAACGTTCCTGTATCTAACATAAATGACAACCAATAACGAACATTTCAAGACAAAGACTTTCTCTTTCTTATATGTCAACAGTTTGTTTCATTTTATCGAATACCTGATAGATTATCCTACAAATAAATACGCTTGAATGTGAATCAATTATTCCTTTTTTAGATTTTACACCAGTTATTGAAAATAAAAGGACAGTTGGCGCCAGATGGAACCGATTGTCCAGTAACTTCTATTAATTGTTGTCCGCCATTATTTACGATTTGACAGCCGTTGTTGACGATACTACGCAAACGCGAACTTGCACTTCCTGTAGTAAATTCCCGGATGAGAAAAATTGTTTGACATTTCGCGGGAAACGCTGTCAAGCTGTAGGGCCGATAAAATTCCTTAAATTAAAATACTTTACACCAAAACAAAATATTTATAGCTTATAGAGCAAATAAGTAATTGTTTCTGCAGATCAGTCAAAGCAGGGTTTTCAAATTGATTCTATTTAAAAGGCCCTGGGAAAGTAAAACACAAAGTTTTACTTTACTTGACAGAATACGTGAATACTACAGAACTTTGAGTCTGTTATATTCACGATTTTTATTGAAAGCCGTGGTAGATTATATGTATAGTGCGTTTTGTAAAGCATGTTTTTAAAAGTGAAACATAATCTATTAGCCACGAACTTTAAATTATGATAAACAAGATCAACAAGGAAAGGCGGCGTGGTTTAGTTAATCAGAGACATAATTATATAGTCCATGTGATTGAAAATTCCCATTTTCTGGACAGAGTAGATAAATGCTTTGAATAATCAATGTTATAATGCTTATAAACCTCATCGAAATCAATATCATGAAAAAAATGTCTAATTTATAACAACCATATTTCCAGAAGTGCTATATTAATAAAAGTCAGTCAATTTGAACAGTTACGTTTACTCGTATTAATTACAGTATATTTTGTTAAATTTATGTACAAATTTATGTCTTTTCTGTAACTTGGTGTCTGTAGCATAAAGGAAGGAAGTTAGTCATATATGGCATGCCTTTTCATATTTTACGTTATAGTTATTATAGACTATAGCTAGTCAGTTTATTTGTCAGTCAAATTCATTTCATCTCACATTCATTTGAAATTGTGTAGAATAGTTTGGGCCCAACAAATCTGATCTTTGCTCCAAACCATTGCCCAAAATCTATCGTAATAAATCGGACTCCACTTTTATTGTAATCAACATTACATCTCATCTACCAAAAAAACACCAAAAACATTTTCTATGTTAAAGGGACTCCACTGAGGTTTTTTGACATGATGGGACTGAAAATATTTTTTTTTCCAGATAAATTTTTGATGTAGGTGTAGACAAAGAATCTTTGTGCAAACTTTCAGATCATTCGCGCACTTCGTTTTTCCATAATAATTATTCAAATTGTAAAGAAATGACCCAAAATGAAAAGCGTGTAAACGCTTTTCACTCAAATTAGGCTAAGAAAAGCATATAAAGCTACGATTTTATTATGTTTTTAGGCTTTTAAACCTCAGTGGAGTCCCTTTAATCAAATCTAGCCGGACTAGTAAGGCAATAATTTGAACTGTGTAACAATACATGTATAACTAAAATATATCGAATGGAAGTTGAAAGAATAAAGTTGAGGAAAAATTGTTAAAAATAAGTATTCTTTATTATATCCCCTCATTTTTTTTTAAATGTTTATTTCCCATAGGCCAGTGGGAGTTATTTTTACTGTTAATGCAAGTGTACCATGTGACTTAGAATTGTACTGGTTAACACCTCGGGTAACAGTATTTTCCTCAGGATGATATTTTTACTGTAACCCACAAACCTATATATTACTTATATAATATTTTATTTTACTAATGTGGACTTCTACAATCAGCGTTTATTTTCCTTACAAAAAATCAAACTGGAAAACAGCACCGTTTCCAATAGAAAACAGACAGCAAATTTCCCAATTTATGATTTAAATTGCTAAAATTTCACTGAAAATTCCCTTCCAAAATCGGTAAATTTAAAGGTAAACAAAACAGTTATGATTGTTTCTCTTCCAACATTTACTCCGGAAAAATTGCATGCTATAAGGGTGTGCTGTGGACACTATAGCTTATTGTTATGCTAAAACATTTAATCTTCCGTGTTAGCTTTATCGTCATACAGATCTTTTTTAAAGCGATATCTTCCTTGATTATATCTCATGTTTAGGAATGTTGAAAGAAACAAAATACAAACAAAATAGAAGTAAAAAAAGAAAGATTAAACATCTTGATTGCAATAGAGATATCTGGCTATATTTGGTTTTTCTGATGGTAAATAACTTTTAAGTTATTTAAAGCAGTGTTCATGTAAGACTTCGTGCAAATTTCTTTTACATTCAATACTTAACAAAAACTAAAGAAATTATTATTATTATTATTATCATTTTTTTATCATTATTATTATTATTATTATTATTATTATTATTATTATTATTATTATTATATAACATTTCATGGTTTAGATTTCCCCCTGAATCCCTGTTTATAGCGACCCTTTGGCCCAAGAACTAAACTTAGCGTATAGTCAAACCAGCCAAGGTACGCTGTTATCACTACTATTAAAGCAAACGTTATTGAGAAAGCATGTCGTAGAGAAATGAATGATTGGTCGACATGAAAGCAAATTTCGATTTATGTTTTTTTTTTTTGATGAGTTAAACATTTGGTTAGCAAATACTCACATGCAATTACCATGAGAATATTGCTTGATTTTAATACAATAGAATAGATAAAAAACAGAATCCCTAAAGAACACTCGAAACGGCAAAATTGAAAATGTTGCAGGCTCGGTTTGATTGATCCTTTTCATAAACGGTAGTGGTACAGTATGATAATGGTACGGTATATGGTGTAAATTTATTTGTCTTGCTCTCATATGACAATGTGTTCTATCAATCTTTAAAACATATGCCTCAAGGTGCATCAGAAACATATCATTCATAACAAATGGGTGTTATGTGATGAACACCGGTTGCAAAAGGTCGCTCCATACTTCATATTGGTATAATTACATTTTTAAGGTCCTGTTCTGTCATGGATTCCTAAATTCAACAATTTTGATTATACCGGTTAGATACTGCTTATGCCGATGATATAGGTGAGTCAAATAATGTTGCGCATGTATATGGGAAGACTCATGCAGTATCCAATCTTGGTTTTATTGTCAGTGCACATGATGCGTCTTCATAGTCCAAACTTTATCAAAATCAGCCTCTCTCATAAAGCAGAAACGTGCCATAACGGACTTGAATTGTCATGTATATGTTCGTGCACAGTTGCCGTGTAATGGACGAGGCAACTCAAAATGTTACAACAGTTGTGTCCCTTTTCGTAATAACAAACGGCGTTATGGACGGCGTATTATAGCGCCGACAACGGCTGCAAGTGTGTTTAATGCTGTGCCAACCCAGCTGTTTCCAACTTCCAGATATGGTTCTAGTCCAAACAATTGGTTTTGACAAAGTAATTTTTTACCTATTGACCTGTGCTACATCATAATGTTGTCTGAATCATAGCAGATATGCAATAAATGTTTTAATTCTTCAATTTTCTTGAAAATTATGGTTTGGTTTAAACATATTTATTCAAGCTCGATTGCGAAACAAATTCTTGCAACTTACTCGTAAATAAATCACTTTCTAGTCAGCTTCCTGAAACCAATTAACCAGTACTTGGGCTCGAACCCATGATCCCTGAGAGGCAGAAACCTTAACCATTAGGCCACCATGTACTCCCCTGAAACTGTGGTTGCTATTGATAAGCAGCAGTCAATTGTAACCCTGGGAGATATCAGGGGGGGGGGGATGATCCAAGTTTTTAACTTCCGCCTGTTCCCGTATGCGTTGGTTTTGTTTGGAAAGGGGGACAATTCTTACTCGCTTTGCGAGTTCATTTTGCAGCGATTTCATCATATGATTTACTGTCATTGAATGTCGTGGTCGGTAGTATATCTTATTTGAACATGTGTCATATTTCCTATCGGATTCTGACTGGAGTTTCAATTTTTACAGATTTCAAAGAAGATGCATATGGCCAATGACATCAGAAATACACGTAAACAAACAAATACAAATTCATATTGCCTGAGCTAGTTCTTTTATTTAAAATCAATTTAAGCAGTGCAAAATTTTCTTTCCCCAGTACTATCGTTTCTATCTCAAAAAGACGTACATGTATTTATGTCATTGGTCACGTGGGATGGCCATCCTGAGATGGAGACTTATAACGTCTTAAATCGAACCATTAAAATTTTATTTATTATAAGAAATTTGGTCATTTTTTCTGTAGATAAATAACTTTGTGTCAGTACTTTACATATCTCTAAGGCAAAGTCATTGCTTTGTAGAATGAGTCGGGTTTTTTTGTTTGTTTTTTTACAAAAATATGTATCACTTTTTCTTTAAATAATGACCGGGGTCTGTGGATTTCACCAGGCACGATTTCGGATGGCGTATGGGCGAACAAGGACACTGTTGGTAGCAATAATTCAATTGTGCAATTGTGGTACAAACTGATTTCCTTCCTCTAGTTAGACTCCGCACAAGTATACCAATATCACTTATAATTATACCGAATAAAAATCAACAACAACAACAACAAAAGTATAAAGGTAAAAGTGAAATTCAGCCAATGTAGACGTTGCCAATCAATTATTGTTGACCTACGCGTTTTCTCCAAAGAATATGGAAAGATCAAGATCACATGAAAGTCAAAGTGCATGTATTTACATATGTACAACAACAACAACAGCAGCAGCAGTAATATGAAATAGATTAGATGGAATGGTTAATATTCATTATATGTTTTCAGGAGGAGTCAATATTCTATAGAAAAGGGGTCACATTTTCTGTGCAAGACTGATCGGGGATCGTTATTTTAGGAGAGAAGAGGGGTGGTGGTATTTTACTTCGTTACACAAGAATGTGAAAACAGCGTATGAAGTGAGCAAAAGTAACGCCGAATTTTGCAAATTCATCAAACGTGCAACTCGCTTCTTGTGGATCAGTATTTATGTTTATACTTATAATAATGCACGTTGACAAATAATGTCGAATTAAATTGGATGTATGATAATCCGCCTTCCCATGAGCGAGCAAATTAAAAAGTGCAAACTGGGAAGCAATGTTCAAATAACACGTTCCCTACCTCTATTTAGACCCGCATAAACTCATGATTAAAGTGAATTTTATAATAATGTTGTGACGTTTATATAATTTATAATATACACGAGGCAGTATATTTGTGAACTTATTTCTTTTTTTTCTCTGATAAAGCATGTTTGCAGTATTATAAATTCGTTAAAAAGATTCTAACGGCTCGAGTTATATATAAAAACTTGAACTCGGTAAGTCGGTTGTGTCGCCTAGTGAACAATATAGATGTCACTTAGACATTTCTTCTGAGACACTGTTCTTATAATGTACATGTATTTTTAACTTTAGTGGCATTTGAGTAGATTGTAATAATGTTTCATCAGATTAATAAAAATGTTATCAAAAAAAAAAGTTTTACTTTGACAGATCAAATGGAGTACTCTCTGTGCACTGCACTTCAGGTCAATGAAAAAAGCTAACATACCAATTTGGAGTCAATCAATCTTACGAGTATAGTGGCCAAGCTATGCTATGGACAAGTCTATTAAGTAAGACAATTAACAAAGGACAATAATAAAAAAATTATGAAGTTCAGAGTACAAGTTCTTGTGTCCTATGAAGTTTCAATTCCATAGCTTTTATTGTAAAGGTGAAATGGCGTGGACAAAAATAAAGAAAATTAACAAAGGGCAATAACTAAAAAATCATGTTTTTGTGCAGTGCACTTCATCTCAATGATATCTATCATCCTACGAAGTTTCATGTCCAAAGTTTTTTTTTATAGTTTAGGAGAAATGGCCCGTACAAAAATGAAATATGAAAATTAACAAAGGGCAATAACTCAAAAATTGAGAAATGCAGAGTACAAGTTTGTGTGCACTGCACTTCTTATCAATAAGATCTATCATCCTATGAAGTTTCAGGTCCATAGTTTTTATAATTTATGAGAAATGGCCCTAACAAAAATAGGGTATGAAAATTACCAAAGGGCAATTTTAAATATCTCTTTAACGTCAATCCTATTTTTGTAATGAGTTTTTATCAGCATATCTTGTAGAATATTATCAACACATTTTGAAAGGAACAGTTAACTGCGTCAATAAATAATTATTTTATATTGCTTTTAAATAAGCACATGCACGTCACCCGGCGCACAACAGAAAAGCGCAGTTAGTCGTTTATTTGTTGCTAATGGGGCCGTCACACCATGTGGCGTTCTGGTCAGCGTTTTATGACGTTTTAAGAAACGTTGGTAGTCGCCAATGGTTGCTGGGATAGCGCCAGAAGAACCTTGTGTGAACGCCAGTGAACATCAGTAATCGCCGGAAATCGGCGTAGAACGCTGGTCCGGAAAAAAAGTTTTGAACATGCACACAAGTTCTCACTCATGGAACGTTTGATTAACTTTCGCCGAGCGTTGCACACGTTCTGCTATCGTTGGTCAGCCGTTACTCAATCGCCACTTGGTTGTTACTAATCGTTTGCTTTGCAGTGAACGACTCACTGGCGACCTTTCAACGACCGCTGAACGGTCTTCAAGCGAACAAAACGTGTGACTAAAGGTAAACGAACGTCCTTTTGGCGTCAATTGAGCGTCATTTGAGCGTCATTCGACCGTTTCACGAACGTCTATGCATATGTAAAAAGCAAGGTTCATTTGATTTTGGGTTATCGAAGAGAACACCTACTATGAAAGATCCTGAAAGATCGAGTAGGCTTAGATGTTTGCTCTAGCCAAGCTTCAAGTAGATGTACTGAACTTAAACATATCTGAACATATTGAGGGAATTCATCCGCAGAGAAGACCCCGACACTCACCCATAGAGAAGAAGACCCCGAAGAAGACGACAGTGTTGGACGAAATCATGAATATAAAGACGTCAAGGATTTGGAAAAACAAAATGTAGCTAGTAGGAACCCTCACCCCAATCTTTTTTCTTGGCGTCATGATGTTGACAATTTAAACTCACAAGAGCAACTAAATTCAATATGAAATTTCCAGCGTTCTGTGTCGTTTAAGCCGTAAAATAACACGCCATCAAGACGCTATTCTACCGTTATTCACGCGTTAGTCATGGTGTGACGGACCCTTAATTAAAAAACTAATTATTAACATAGAAACCCCGCTAAACATCGCATGCTTCTTATATGACGTCCTTTAAGTATTTTCTTATGGACGTCATTTTCGTTATTTTTGTTAATATCGCTAGAAACACCAGACGCCGATATTGTTTACAACGGGAAAATGACGGACACGCCGCGCGACCATAAAACTGTGTTGTAATTTGGGAATGAGACCTACAAAAATATTGGATACAAAACCTGCAGACGAAAAAAAAAATGCACCATCATTAGTGTTTAAGTGGCATAAGAAATTTAGTGATGGACACTACTTTGAGAAGCAGTAACGGTCATTGACTGCGTAACGTAGAAAGCACAAGTTGTACGTTATTATGACGTTGACGTCTATAACTTCGGCGTGCGCCGCTGTCGCCGACATGACTGTGTCTATGTAAAATTAATTAGATATTGTACTACCTACATGGATTTTCTGCGTTTATTTATTATTTATTCTTCTCGTACATGCTCGTTGACTTTTATCTGATAGTCTAAGGATGAAACGCATAGAAGGTCAACTATATTTGATTGGCAACGTTTACATTAAAAAATGTTATAAAGAAAATGTGAGAATTCATTAAATCACTATAGTAACAATTTGCCTCCATCAGTGTTTTGTATTTATGGCCAGAAAATTAGCCAATTGCATATCATGTACATGCAAACAAAAAATCTTTAAAGAAAATTAATAAGACAATTTATTATCACAATTAAACAATTATATTGTCTTTGACATCATACTAATACTGTATTATTTGATAACATTAAGTACAGTTGAAACTGACTATCATATTTTGTACAAAGAAAAAGACACTGTGTATGTTTCTGATGCACATATGGTCATTTTCAACAAGTCATAGGTCATTTTCAACAAGTCATACATTTTCTGTTTCCAACATATTATATTGCTAGAGTGGTGACTTCATGAATGTGTATTGACATTTTAATATTCATAGGCCTATTCTTATGGATGAAATAAATCATTCCCTTTGGAAATTTAACACATTTACGTACATAAAATAAATGTAAAATAACACACGTGTAATGCTAGTGGATACATAACCTCTGATCTCCTCTCAAAATTCATTTTTTTCAGTTTGACTTTTGTTTAATCATATGCTGATATTTCTAAATTCTTAATTCTTCATTTTACACTTTGTTCATATTGATATAATATGGTGGTTGGGGGTAGAATGTACATTGTTTCACTGCCACATCAAACTTAGCCTCCAACACTATCAACAACTCCAGCAATACAATAACAACATAGCTCAACATGTGCAAATCACAGTCTTCACAATACCAATTTTCTTGATGTGATACATGCAGAAAATATATCAAAATATGCACACTTATATATTATAATGACCTTTTTAGTTCTTGTATTATAATAATTTTATGCATCACACAGCTCAATTGAATTTTGAGAGGGTATTGTGCAAAACTTTTTGACTTACGTAATATCAGTGTCAAAGAGAAAATACAGCAACATTTATTCATTCTATTTGTCTGGTGCTAATTTAAGGTGTGCACATGGTGCTTCAGGTGTGCATATTTTCATTTATAAGTAAGTAAGTTGTTGCATGTGTTTAAAACACTTACATGTTTAGACAAGGACCATCAGTGATAACATGTGTCGTCTCATGATAGCCAATCACAAGTTGCAGCTACTGTGTAGCAGGAGACCCAAAAATCATTAACAGGGCAAAACACATTTTTAATTAAGGGCAATAACTCAGCTGAAAATCATTCAAGCGAAAATAAAAGTGTATTATGCTCAGGTACTTGACCTATCAATCTATCCTGTAAAGTTTCATTGAAATTGCATTAATGGTATAAGAGGAGTAGTCCTTTTTTTAACACCCTTTTCATTCAATGGCCATAACTGGGCCAAAATCATTCAAGTGGAAAACCCGTGTAATATGCACAAGTACTTGACCTACCAATCAAACCTTCATTGAAGTTGCACCAGTAGTTTTTGAGTAGTCTGGACAAGCTTTTGTGTATCTGGCAGCACACAAAAACCCACCTTTTATAAAGTTTGGAAAATTTGCACCAGTAGTTTATGAGGAGTAGTCCGGGCAAGTTTTGTGACGGACGGACGGACGGAAGGACTGACAGACGGACACACAGAGGATGGAGAAGGGCCACTACTCTGCAGAGGCGTCGCAAAAATGATTCTGAATTATATTGTGTTAATAATTCTTTATTTTATGAATCCCTGATAGTAGGTTGTATTGTCCTACTTTATTTGGCTTAAATATGTTTGACAAACTCTTATTTGGTCAAAATTAAAAGATAAAATTACTTTGATATATAAAATGAAACATTTTTATTAACTATTTTAACTGTTTTCAGCAAAAAAGGTAGTAAAATTTAGCACATTACACTCTCAAAATATATTCTAAGCAGTTGAAAAAATAAATACAAAAGTTGTAATAAAAGCATGGTCAAACAATGGTTTTCATTTTTGAAAATATTTGATATAAAAGAAAATAGAACCACCCACATTAAATTCTTTAAGATTTAGCGCACAACAGTAGCACTGGAATCACACACCTGATTTGAAGCAAAGCACCAATGGTGCTAAAGTTGTGCACTGAGAAATTACAATGTGTCTTATTTGTACAAATGTGACTTATCAATTCCCTCTTCAAACTTTGATGATATCATAATTGAATCATAATGTATTCCTGCATCGTCAGTCATCATTGTTGATGACAACTGTTTATAACGCTATAATTTAATCAAAATTTAATCAAGGCTGTTGCATTTTGTTTAGAATTAAAACTTATTGCCAAGATAATCTGAAAAAGAACTTAAGTAAATCTGAATCTCAAACAAATTGAAAAAGAAGAAATAAGTGTACTTTTATCTAAAGTCAGCTTGCATGATATATTAATAGAAAATATTGAGTGATTTAGTCTTTGTAAATTTCTGCTACAGACTTGCAGAATATTTTAAACAGTGTTTAAACTAATGAAATATTTTGTTCAAAATTTAAAATTTCATTTATATGAAAATATTTAAGGTACAACAGATCTAACTCAAAGATTTGTACTACTTTTACCAAATTTCAATAGGGAATTTGAGGCTAACTCAAGTAAGTCTTGTATTGCAGTCAGAATTTCAGCGTAATAAAGGTCTAACTCTAAAATACACAATTTGTATTATTTTAATTAAAATTTATATTAATGGCATTATTTCTTATTATAATTAATGTCAACTTAGCAAAAAAAGGTTTTCTAATATAAGCATGTATGAAATAAATCAGTTTTCTGTCTCTTCTGAACATTTTCAAAAATAGCAGTTAGACCAGTATTGCGCTGAGCCATCGATATGACACATGTTCAAATAAAAATATTCTACTGACAACGACATCCAAGGACAGTAAATAATATGATGAAATCCCTGCAAAATGTACCCACAATTCGAGTTAGAATTGTCCCCTTTGGCAATCAAAACCAACGCATTCACCCGGTTGTGCGAGGACATACGAGAGTTAAACATTTTTATCATTCCCCGTGTTATCTCCCAGGGTTACATATGACTGCTGCTTACAGTTACCATAGTTTTCGGGGGAGTACGTGGTGGTCTAATGGTTAAGGCGTCTGCCTCTCAACCCAGGGATCATGGGTTCGAGCCCTACTTGGGTCACGACCATGTTTCTTCATATGACACCAGTACTGGTTGACTCGAATGTGATTAATGTAAGTTGCAAGAACTTGTTTCGAAATCGAGCAAAACCAAGTCATAATTTTCAAGAAAATTGATATTAATATGTTTACGAATTTAAACATTTATTGTATATCTGCTATAATTCAGACAACATTGAGATGTAGTACAGGTCAATAGGTAAAAAATCACTTTGTCCAAACCAATTGTTTGGACTAGAAGTATATCTGGACGTCGGAAACAGCTGGGTTGGTACAGCATTAAACACACTTGCAGCCGTTGTCGGCGCTACAATACGCCGTCCATAATGCCGTCTGTTATTACGAAAAGGGACACAACTGTTGTAACATTTTGAGTTGCCTCGTCCATTACACGGCCGGAAATAACAGTTGACTGTGCAAGAATATATATCTCTGTGGGTGTAGTACACGCTTGCGCAGGACCCTGAAAACAAAGAACAATATTGATTTATTCCTCATAATGAAGCAAATATATGTTAAAAAACGAATTATCTTTTCGAAACCTACAACTTAACTTATTCCGATCTGACTAAAGTGCTACTTTAATTAATTATCGGATTGAACTTATTGCAATCATCTTGCAAATATCACTTTCTGATGAACTGCAAAGTTATCTCCAAAATGAGTTTTTTCATATATAGTGAAAACGACAAGTACAATTTGCACAACAAATGTATACTAATAACAAAATGGAAAATGGATTAAAAATAAATTCTACTTCAAACGGGAATCTATAAAGGAAAAGTTCAATGAAAGTGTATTTACACCACATGCGCATGAATCTGTCTTTCTGTGCCGGGTTTGGCGTTGTCGTCCATTTTGTAGTAGACCATGGTGGCATGGTTGTGGTTGTTCTTACCATTGGCGGACGAAATGTAAACCATTCCCACCAATGTGTTGAAGTTCTATATGGGGGACGCGTAGTTATCGGTTTACGTGTTGTTTTGCATGACGTAGACCGTGTTGTTGATTTTGTGGTGATATGTGAAGTTGGATTATCAGTAGTCGCTTTTGTGGTAAGTTGTGTAGGATACATTTCCGTTGTCGGTTTTGAAGTCATATGTGAAGTATACATTTCTGTAGTCGGTTTTGTGGTAGCACGTGAAGGTGGCACTCTAGTTGTTGGTATGGTACTGATAGGTGTATTCTTCTGTGTAGTTTGCTGTTTTCTATCACATAATGAGAATGGTGGCAATGGTGGTGGTGCAGGAAATTCCTTCAAACAGTTTCTATCCATACCTTGTTTTAAAAGAGATGAAGCAAAAATGATAAATACTTAGTACACGAGAAAAAAATCAGCTCCTGTTTTGTGAAACATATTGGCACATTGACAATTTTACCTGCAAAAACATGAAACTATAATTTCTGTTTGAAATATCATTTATAGGTAGGTGTTATATTTTCAAAATTTATATTTAAAGGCTTCAATGTAAATGATGAACTATGGTCTCAGAAACGTAAGACCGGTGGTGACATTTCAACCTCTTGAATTCTCGGGTTTATCTATAAGAATTCATGACTTCAACTTCATGAATTCACAATTTTAACAGACAGAATTCTCAAATTCAACTTCATGAATTCACGATTTCAGCTTCACGAGTTCATGATTTCAACTTCACCAATTCAATTTAATTAACTTCGTGAATACACGATTTCAATTTCATGAAGGTAAAATATTGAATTCGTGAAGTTGAAATCCTGAAGTTCAAAGCTTAAATTCATGAAGTCGAATTCATGAAATTGAAATCGCAAATTTCAAAACATGAATTCGTGAAGTTGATATCATGATGTTGAAATCTTGAATTCATGAATTTGAGATCGTGAATTCACGAATCTGAAATCGTGAAGTTCAAAAGTTGAAATCGTGAATTCGTGAAGTTAAAAATTGTGAATTGATTAAATTGAAATCGTGAATTCGTGTTTTCCGTATGTTGAAAACGTGAATTCACGAAGTTTAAATTGGGAATTCACGAAGTTGAAATGTCCCCACCGGTCTTCCGTACTAAAATGTTACTTAAATTTTTATTTTATTTTGGTTTTATTTGATATGACTGTTAAAAATATATTAAGCTAAATCTAATGAAACATTTTTATAAAATATATAAAAGGCAAAAATATGTTGCTTCCATAATTTTATTATGGATTTTCGAAAGAGTTGTAATATAGAATGTATTTACATCTGTTATTTAACATGAGTATTGTTATTATTTGAATAAAATGTTCCGGAACAAAATATCATGTAGGATTTTGACCTTTAAGCAATGATTTGGTCCATGTGTTTTTTGCTCTTAGAAAAAATATACGAGTATGTTTCTCCCATACAGACATTCTATTTCAAAATTCAAACAATAATTTTGTAAACTAAAGGCAGAAGATATACAGCTACATACACTTTAAGTTGGACTGAAAAGATGTGAATACCTGCAATTGTGATTTAACTGAATTCGAAAATTGGTTATTTGTTGTTTAAAATCATTTCAAAATTTAAGGTACCATATAGATATTTTATATATATTTCTCACATAGAAAGGTTGAGGTTTTCCTCCACCAGCAAAGTGAGGTTTTCCTCCACCAGCAAAGTTGTAAATTGGTGCGACGTAAAACTCGACCAAAATAAATAAATAAATAAATGTTTTACATTTGTTGAACAATGTGAGATAAATAAAGAAATAAACGATGAATGAATGAATGAATGAATGAATGGATGGATGGATGAATGGATGAATGAATGAATGAATGAATGAATGAATGAATGAATGAATGAATGAATGAATGAATGAATGAATGAATGAATGAATGAATGAAGGGATGGATGAATGGATGAATGAATGTATGAATGAAAGGATGGATGAATGGATGAATGAATGAATGAATGAATGAATGAATGAATGAATGAATGAATGAATGAAGGGATGGATGAATGGATGAATGAATGAATGAATGAATTAATGAATGAATTAATGAATTAATGAATGAATGAACAGCATTTTGCCACATTTAAAAAATATATAATTCTGAACAAATAGCAGACTAACGATAATTAGCAAAGTGTTATATAATTTGTTGGACAGAAATGCAATTTACACGTTGTGATAATTACTAAATACAAAACATCTAATTGTTGCTCCAAGCAAATCTTGAAAAGACTGTTTTATCTTACTGATATAAATATATATACAATTTAACATTTCAACTACATGTATTAAATGTATAGTGAAACACAAAATGTATACCTAATACATTGCATGGTAGAACGAAACTATTATACTCGTATAAAGTGAAATATAAAAACATGTTAAGTGAAATATATCTATATATACATGTATGGTGAAACATCAATAAAACATAAGGTAGATAATTACTAATGTTAAAGGCGAAATACCACTAAAACGACAGCAAAATATACACAGTGAAAATGAAACTAATATCCGATATATCATGAAATATAACTAATTTCGTATTAAGTAAAATACATTGACATGCTTTGCATTCTATCGGACATTCTATTTTTTCTAGTATTATTCATGTTTTGTGCTATGCTGAACAGAAAAAAAACAACACTTGAGATCGAAATAAATGGAATTCATTTTACGAAAGTAAATCATAACAAACTGAAATGCTAATAATCATTGGCAGCTCCCTCGGGAGCATCCATGTAAAAACGCAATCTATGGAAATTGAGGACTGGCACAAATTAGTTTTTACTTGTTGAAGTCTGTGAGCCACAATGACAACAACGTCAATGTGTCGCCCCACCCCCTCCCCATCACCGACTGCAGTAATCGATACTTATTACAATCAGTTAATATTAAACATAAATGTAATTTTAATTATACTTTGTTTATAAACGTACATGCTTTTGTGGCTTTCTGTATGGGAATAAATGCATATGTCATATTGGGACATTTCAGTTCGTCTGAAAGGTCGAAACAGTCCGGCACACCATTGCAAAAGTCACACGTCATATCCGGTCTTGAACTACACGACTGGTCATGTCGGTATCGAGAAATAGACACACCTAAAATAAGTAAACATAGTTATTCACACTAAAAGTATAAAAAAAACCCAAAAAGAATGTTTCTTATCAGAATAAAATATAATATCATTCATGCTACAAAATATAATTCATAATTATTGCACTATATATAATTACACATATATTACATCATTTAACAAGGTGTGCTGACCGAACCGGATGTTCGTTGTTGTGGTGGTGGGATGATAAATACCTGTCGTTTATCAACCACAATAAATATGTGTGTTAATGTATTTTAATTACGTTTGGGTTAGATGTAAAATACACAGGTTGAATAAATGAAATAAACTTTATATTAATGTAATGACTTCTTAAACAATATAATCTAAACTACAATAAGTAATAAAAACTTATCGTTATTTATTTAATTATCAGAATAAGAATCAAATAAAAAAGGTCATACCTGCATAAATCTGAATTGTTGACAAGAAAATGAAAATGTAAATATATCTAGCATAACACGAAGCTGTCATGTCAGAAAGATTTGAAGTAATTATCACATTCCCGATATAACGAACTACAAAACGTCCGAAATTATGATATTTATCCACTTTTTTATTTTACACTAATAATAAATGTCACTTCTCGTCACTAACATGTCTATAATTGGAAAAAAATGTTGCTGGTATAGGAACGAAGAAAAGTTATTACACGCGGAGATAGTAAGTTTATTTTTCTTCCCCCAAACGGAAGAGTAAGCCTTCAAGTTTGTAGCACGTTTTACTTGTTATCACGTGGTTTTAAACATTGTTGTTTTCTAATTAGATACATTATATAAATAGACATAACGACCCAGACATTCTGTGCGTACACTTATTAGGAAATTTACCTGTAATGTTCAAATTATAAAACAAGTGGAGAAGTCTTTTTATATTTTTGGCAGATTTATATTTTTTTCTAAACAATTTACATGTACAATATCAACTGTTATAGTCAATCACTATTACACCAGTCACTCTTAAAATATACAGTCAATTCAGTTTAACTTTAATGCCACTTTAATTGTTAGACTTTATAACCATCCAAGTTCGTAGTGACACTTTTTTACTTTAAAATAAATGCTGATTTTGAGGTTTTGATCATGTTTTGACTATGAAGACGCATCATGTGCACTGAAAACAAAAGCAAGATGTGATACTGGTTCTTCTCATATGCATGTGTATCATATTTGACTCACCTATATCATTAGCACAAGCAGTACCTAACTGTCATAATCAAAATTGCTGAAATTAGGAATCATTGACAAAACAGGACCTTAAAACGTAATTACACTAATATGAAGTATGGAGCGACCTTTAGCAACCGGCGTTCATCACATAACACCCATTTGTTATGAATGATATGTTTCTGATGCACCTTGAGGCATATGTTTTAAAGATTGATAGAACACATTGTCATATGAGAGCAAGACAAATAAATCTACATCATATACCGTACCACTATCATACTGTACCACTACCGTTTATGAAAAGGTTCAATCAAACCGAGTCTGCAACATTTTCAATTTTGCCATTTTGAGCGTTCTTTACGGATTCTGTTTTTTCTCTACTCTATTGTATTAAAATCAAGAAATATTCTCATGGTAATTGCATGTGAGTATTTGCTAACCAAATGTTTAACTCATTAAAAACATACACCAAATTTGCTTTCACGGTGGCCAAGCATCATTTCTTTATGACATGCTTTCTCACTGACGTTTGCTTTAATGACACACTAAGCCTCAAAAATGAATTAAATTTTCCTTCTTCAAAAAATGTAAACATAAGTTTAATAAATGTTAAATTAATGGTAAACAGCATGTAAGAGGTTTATTATCTAGTGAAAGAAGTGTTGAATGTGAACTTATTTGTCATAAGAGTAGCAGAAATATCCATACAAAGTACAAAATCACTCTATAATTGTACTTATTGCCAAAAATTGTACGTATTGCCAAAAACAGCTACAGAAACAAAAGATAATGCAGGTTTTGGGCCAGTAAGAAAGCTTTTGAAATCTATGACGAGACAGAAAATAAACGCTGATATTAGAAGTGCGCATTATGTAAATATTATATAAACAACATATAGGTTTCTTGGTTAAAATATCATCCCGAGGAGAATACTGTTACCCGAGGTGTTAACCAGTACAACTTTCTTAGTCACGTGGTACACTTGCATTAACAGTAAGAAAAACACCCATTGGCCTATTGGAAATTAACATTACAAAAACTGAGGGGTAATAATAGAGAATAATTGTTTTTTTAACAATTTTTCTTCAACTTTATTCTTTAAAATTTCATCCGATATATTTTAGTTATATTGTTACACAGTTTAATTTGATTAACATAGAAAATGTTTTTGGTGTTTTTTGGTAGATGAGATGTAATGTTGGTTACATTAACAGTTGAGACCGATTTATTGGCAATGGTTTGCAACAAAGATCAGATTTGTAGAGCCCAAACTATTTTATACAATTTCAAATGAATGTAAGATGAAATGAATGTGACTGACGAATAAACTGACTATAGTCTATAATAAATACAAGGTAAAATATGAAAAGGGATTCCATATATGACTAACTCCCTTCCTTTATGCTACTAACATTAAGTTATAGACTAGACATAAATTTGTCCATAAAGTTAACAAAATATAAAAAAAATGTTCAATTGACTGATTTTGATTAATTTAGCACTTTTGGAAAGTTGGTGGTGATCAATTTGACATTTTTTATAATTATTATAATTTCGATGAGGTTTATAAGCATTATAACATTAGTAATTTAAAGCATAGGCATACTCTATCTTGAAGAAAATTGGAATGTTCAATTTTTACATTTTGTACGCCACTCCATGGCTCCGTAGAGGCCAACTATTTTGTTTACTAAGTTTAAAAGGTTCATCCTTAAAAGACATTGTAAAAGTACCGTAGTATAAATTGAAATTTTAAGGTAATTCAAACCTTGCCTCCTTAAAAATTGATTATTTGGTTTGCAGATAATAACCACGATAAATCTTTTTTTGCTAAAATAACTTTATTGGTTATTGGTATTCACTTTCATCTGTTTCACGTTCATTAAAGTTGATTGAATTTAATATTGTACTTTTATGCTTGGATTAATATGTGCCAAGAAGGGTTTAGTATCGACATGAATATTCATCTAACCGGTGCTAGGGGGCGTAGGTGATCAGTTGCACTTTCCAGTACCATCCATGAACAGGCTCAATCAAACCTGCAACATTTTCGATTTAGACGTTTTGGGCGTTTTTTAGGGATTCCGTTTTTCTCTATTTTGAGGATATTTCAAATACATATTTCGACATTATTTATCTGTGTTTTGTTTTGTTTTAATAATAATTCGAGCGATTAGTTTACAGTATTTACTATATCACCCTCATTATTTATAAATTCTATTCTGCCACATGTATATACATGCATATGATTTTATCTGATTTCCTTAAACCGATGTTGGTGGCGAAATGTTTTTACGCAAATCAGGAATATTGGCACTAAAATGTTTTGACTCTTAGATCAGTCATCCTGAGTACTGTACTAACACCGGCAATTTATTGTCTATCATCAATACGGGAACGAAGCCCTACCTCCAAGAGCGCATATAATCCATTGATATTTAGATGCATACTACATGTACTTATTATTCTTGAATCATCTTTCCTGTTTCCGCGCCATATGGCCTAAATTGTGTTGGTGCGCCGTAAAACCAAACAAAACACAAAAACTTACTATTTAACGTAACATTTATTTCGGAATAAGCATATGTTTTCATTGAAAAGGTGTGACAAAAAAAGTAAAGCAAAATCACAATTAATTATAAAAAAGTAAAGAAAAAAAAACTTGCTTAAATGTCAAACATCGATATTTATATTTCTTTAGGTAGCAGGAACTAACAGCAATTTTTCGTTGTAAGGTATTCACTGTTTTAGGAGTGGACCGTATTCTTTTTGTATTAAACCTTTATTTCACTGCAGTGAATTGTAGTTGTTGTCCTTTGTGAACGATTTAGAAGTCCTTTATTTAATAATTAACACAATGACCTGAGAGTTTGTTTAACTGATTACTTAAGTCAAAATATATTAATATATGTGACAGTTACATTGTGACAGCTGAGTTTACTTTGATGCATCGTATGCCAGATTACTAAAATATCAAAATAAAAGGTTAAAATTCCCAAGACGTTTTTCGTTGACAAAAATATCACCCTAAATTTTATTTATGTCTTTATCATTCAAAATAACAAAATACAATTACATTTGGTTAAAAAATAAAAAAAGATTTCATACAACCCTTCAAACTTAAATACAATTTTATACTTTTAAATGAAATATTGAGAAACAATGATGAAATAAAATGCGTATTTTCACTGTAAAAGTGAAAGTTTATTTTCACTACAGTGAAACATATTTTCGTATTTTTACTGTCTTGCCAGACTATTTACTTCTTAATTCTGCCAATACACAATGCTAAATGAGAAGACTTAAGAATTATTCGGTCAAAAAATAAATAAATAAAAAATAAAAAACATAAAACTATATGATAAACAGAAAATACTATAAATACAGGATATGTTTTCATTTTTGTGGTAAATGTATGAAAATCATACATATCATATTGTCATGCTTTAGAGTTTTAGTAGTAAAGATAATGGTTTTGTAATTTCATTTTCGATACAAGGCATTTATGATACATATATGTTTATGTATACATTTGATACCAAATATTATAAATATTTATATATGAGCATATTATGATAAAACAAGTAAACATTTATAACCATTGATGTTTAGTAAAAAGAACACATACAGAACAAGGTAACAAACCAAATAATCAAAGAGATAAATATGTATGAAATTATAATTGATATGAATTAAAATGTAAATGACATCATATAGTTTTGATAATATATGAATGTAACAATATGTTGAAAGTGAGTAATATTATTATTCAATGTCCGTCATTGTATTGTAATGTATTGTGTAATGTATTGTATTGCTGAGAATGTTGTAATTTTATTTTGTGTCAGGTCAAGGGCTTATTAGCCTAAACCAGACTGTTGTTGTTTACATGTGGATTTTGAAATAAAATTCTTCTTCTTCTTCTTCTATTTTAATAACACTCGATAAAATAAATCCTGTATTCATAGAAAAAAACTTGAATATCCTCTATGTTTTACATTTTGTTAAAGTTATTCATAATGTATTTATAAACAATAAAATACTGTATTATATCTAATATATATATAAATCTAATTATATATAATTATGTATGAAAATATATATAAAAACGTTACTGTTGCATTCTAAATTGTACGTGGACCAGGCAATGTTATTGGGAAGAAAGATTACTTATCTGTTCATTAATTTTCGCAATAAAAGTGCAATGCATGTGTCCATATGTTGTCTGCTTGCATTACAATGTAATAACGAAATGGCCTAATTATATACACTTATATACTACCATGCATATTCATTTGCTAATGTTAGGAATGTCTAGTTTTAAAAATATTGATAATGTAGTTCAATAATATTGTTCTTATTGTTAGTATAATTTCAACTGATGTTGTAACAGAACTGATTTTATGACCTCTTTTTGTATGGTAAGAACGCTTTCCCTTATGTAAAGTTCTGTATTATTTGACTACTTTAAAATATATACATGAACTCTATATAAATCAAATCTGTAGACAAAAACCATCCGTAGGAGGTACCTAACATGGTCTTTATATATAAGTGTCTTTA